CCCGTGTCCCCTGCATTGGCGGGCGGATTCTTAACCACTGCGCCACCAGGGAAGCCCTGTTTTGCTTCTTGAACCCATAACATGAAAGTATAGTCAGAGGGATTCTCGCTGAGAAAACCATCGTGCATTAAACCATTTGGGAGGAGGTGCTTTGCAGATGATGATGGTGGTGTCTGGTTCTTCTGCATCACTCCCTACTCCCTTCCCACTCCCCGACTCTGTCCATAGGCTTCATGGAGCTACTAGCAATTTTGCCAACAGCATACTCCTTGCAGGAATACTCTCTACCTCTCCCGCTTCCCTGACCAGCGAGTGCCTTTCTGTCTAGAGCTGCCTTGGGCAATCCCTCCAGGGAAGCTTCCTTAACCATCTCTTCCAACCACTCTCAGACTGGGCACCTCTTTTCTGGAGGCTCACAGTTTCTTTTGCTCATGTTCAAAGGCCACGTATCCCTAGGATCACAAAAATTTGTTTTGCGTTGTGTGTAGGTAGAAATTGTTGTGTGGGAAAGTTTTTAATTTTTGTAAAATTGTGAAGTATACCACACACGCATTAACGTACAATAATGAAGCGTTATGATGAGAACAGCCACAGAATGACCACCCAAGATGGAAAATGGTGCGTGGCCAGGACCCTGGAAGCTTCCCAGGTGTCCATCTTAATCACACCCCACTTCTTCTCACTGTTCCGACTTTCGTAGCCATCAGCTTCTTGCTTTTCTTTACACTTTTACCAATTATGTGCACACCAAGACTTGATAGTTTGGTTTTGACTGATTTGGATTTTCTATTCGGGAAATTGTATCGTGTGTATTTTTCAGTGTCATGCTTCTTTCACCAACCTCTATAACTCTAAGATTCTTTGGTGTATTGGATTTTTTGGTGTATCTGGTGTATTGGAAATAAATGAAGGTCATTCATTTTATTGCTTTAGAGCAATGTTGCTTAACCTTTTTTTCATTGTTGCCCATTAAAGATCCTCTCTAGACATATTTTTCTAATTGTTCCCCCCATGAAATTTTAATACCTGAGATGTACTGTATAGTTGTATATATATCTGTACTTTATATGCAAAATAAGGTGTTTTTTTTTTTAATCCTATAAAAATCAGCTCCCACCTCCTTGGGGATGCTCTCCACCTCATTGAGAATGGACACTTCAGAGCAGGGGTTACCACTCTCAGCACTATTGTCACTGTACCCAGTAATTCTTTGTTGTGGAGGCTGACAGTGCAGGATCTCTAGCAACATCCTTTGGCCTCTACCCACTGAATTAACAGATGATATTTCTTCATTTTTTAATATTTCTGCCATGGAAAGGTATTATTTACGTAATGTTTAAAGTATCGGTTACGTATTATAGGGGACAATATCACTACAATCTGAAAACTAACACATTGGCTGTTTTCCTTATTTCTGGGAGGTATTAGAAGGTAGGTTTTTATACTGAGTTGCTTTTTGGAAAATGAGTTTTGAGGACTGAGTGTAGGAGATATTTGGGGATATTACTAAGCCTTGTCATCTCAGAGATGTGCAGGTAATTTCTCTAACCAAAAGCTTGCCTTCGGACGTTGGAGTCTCCTGATTTCTTTCCCCTCCCCTTTTTAAATTTGCAGGTTGAAAATGAATATGGCAGCTACTATACCTGTGATTACAACTACCTGCGTTTCCTGCAGAAGCGTTTCCACTACCACCTGGGTGAGGACGTGCTTCTGTTCACCACGGACGGGGTGCATGAGAGTCTCCTGCAGTGCGGGGCACTGCAGGGGCTCTATGCCACCGTGGACTTCGGAGCAGGTTGGTGTCTACAGTCACAGAAACCCAGCTGAGCAGGCAGGTTTGGGCTTTTTACTCCATTGGTCATTCTAGGCAGCTGTTGTTCAAGTGGCAAGGGCATATCGAGTGAGATTTCCCAAATTTTCCTGTATCTGGTAACTGGTAAAATAGAATACCTGATAATGCACCCCTCCATTGCAGAGATCATTTTATGTCAGCTGAGCTGGCCCTTAGGTCAAGAGCTCCATTTCCAGCCCTGGCGGAGCTGGCTGCAGCCTGGAGTCCTGTTCTCTTAGGGGCTGCCTGCCAGGAGTAGTTCCAGGGTGAGAACTCCACCTTTCAGGCTCTGTCTGGAATGTGCTGCTCTTCCCTGCTCCCCCTGTCCCCCGAGTCGTGGCTGGGTGCTTGGGCTGGGTCGTGGCCATCGTGAACTCTGAGGCCAGTCCTGGGGTTCGGGGAACTTACCTGGTACTTCCGCTTTCTTTCTACGTAAACTCATAAGGCTGGGAACTGTGATGGGCCGGAGGCGGTTTGGCAGATGCTACAAAAAATTGTCTTGCCTGATGCATTAGTGCTGTGTAAGCTGCTGAGGTTCCACACATGAAAGGAGGGCTGGGATGTTTCGGGCTGTAATGACATTAAGAAATCTTCATGTAGGTTGAGAGCAGCTTTCATAAAAGGCATGGCAGCTAAATGCAGTGTGTGATCCTGGACTTTTATTTTCCTTTTTTTTTTTTTTTCCTTTGGTTGTTGTTGTTATGAAGGACATTATTGAGACAATTGAAATCTTTGAATAAAGGCTTTAGATTAGATAATAGTATTCTATCCATGTTAATTTCCTGTTTTTTATCATTGTATTCTGTTTACTTAAAGAATGCCCTTGCCCTTAGGGGATACACACTGAAGTATCTAGGGGTAAGGGGCCATTCTGTCTGCAAGTTATTCTCAAATGGCTCAGAAAAAAATATGTATATTCATACAGAGAGGGAAAACCTGATAAATGTGGTAAAATGTTAACAATTGGGGAACCTGGGTGAAGGGAAGATGAGTTCTTTGTACTATTCTCACAGCTTTTCTGTAAGTTTGAAATTATTTCAAAATGAAAAGTTACTGCCCCCCGCCCAAAAAGACCAGCTCTTCAAGTAGCATAAGGATCCCGCTGTTCTCCCACCTGAGGGATGAGACGCATATCCAGCGTTGCCTTCTCTTGAGAAGGCTGTACAGAAAACTGCAGCTGCATTTTTAAAAAGATTCTTCTACACTACCAACAAGGAAATAACTGGCTCTGAGTGAACTGAGTGTTTCTAGAAACATGGTACGTTGCTCAGAGCATTTGGCGATGAAATAACTCATCTACAAAGAGCTGCACAGGAAGTGGCATGCTGGTTTCGTCATGCTTTGGCACACTTCCCAACACAGTGATGAAAAAGCACAGTATTCTTCTGTTGGGAGGAACAAATTAAAGATTATTATGAGTTAGTTGTAAGCATTATTTGTATGTCGGGTGACAGCACATGCAAATAATGCTTCTTCTGTGGGTTCAAGGACAGACACTCAAGACCAGTGTACCTGGGGCAGGTGGGGCTGTGGTAGCTTTATTCATTTGTGTGCAAGAGGGGCAGTGCCTGGGGTCAGATCCCAGGAGAGTCGCCTGAGAGCAGCATTTAAAGATCTGGAAGCTACCGAATGCTTAATAGTGAGAAATTTACAGCCATAAAATGAGATTCCATTCTTTCTTGATCAGCACATTGACTCCTGAAAGCTGGCCTTACAGAGAAGCCCAAGGATTGTCCCAGAGCAGGGGGGTTTCGGAGACTTGGCTGGTGTCCCTTTCACACTGGGACACCCACTACGGGAACTGGACCGTGCAGTGTGGGGTCAGGGTGTCCTCTGCTCTGGCTGGGAAGCACTGTGCGTGTTCACTGATGTAAAGCAGCCCATTACCTGTCTGGGGAGAAACCCTTTCTTTCTTTAGAGGTGGAGGGGAGAACAGAGTCGTGGGAAGCAAGATGAGATACAGGCATCCCAATGGAATATTTCAGAAGACAAAATTGAGTTCACGAGTAGTCTGGAATGACTGTTGATGTACAAATTAAAATTCAGAGTATACTCCATGATTACGTAATTAGAGCACATTTGTCCCTTTGATTTGTTAATTAAGTGGCAGATATTTGTGCCACTATGGTGTGTATGGCACTGTGGAGCTTACCAGGAAGTATGTTCAAAGCAGGGCTATCCTGTAGGGAGCAGCTAGGTCAACCAGATGTCCGAGTGAAGAGAGAGAGAGAGAGAGAGAGAGAGAGAGAGAGAGAGAGAGAGAGAGAGGGAGAGACAGACAGACAGACAGACAGACAGACAGACAGACACACCAGCCGTGTGTCCAGGTGCCGGGGACACAGAGGAAGCACAAAGCCTGTGCCGTGATCTCCCAAAGGAAAGCAGTCAGGAGAGGCCCGAGCACTGTTCACAGAGGAAGCATCATTCTGTGGTCCCCACGGTCCGTCAAATGGCTGGCCTGAGTCCCCACCTAAAGCTAGTTTGGAGGTGTGCAAGCCCCTGGGGGTGTGGGGAAGGGCGGGGGCCTCAGGCGCAAGTCCTACGAAGGAATCTTTTTATTTAACTTCTCGTCATTCCCATGGCTGACCGTTCTCCCTCTCATTTTTCAGATGTCAACATCACAGCTGCTTTCCTAATCCAGAGGAAGAGTGAACCCCAAGGACCCTTGGTAAGAATCAGGTGTGAGGCCTGGGGAGACTGTTTGCTTGTACTAACTTCATTACCGAGGCTGGGAGAGAGCGATTAACTGCTGCGGAGGGTGGGAATGGATCCTTGGTTTCTCTGAGTTTGAGGTCAGCAGCTGATGGGAGTGTAGAGACCCCCTTCTGGACACATGGGAAACAGCAGAAGCAGTGCTGCTACTTGACACCGAGGCCCTGCACTGGAGGGGGGGCAGAATGGGGACCGAAGTGAACATCCCGCCTCCATCAGGCTCTGCGCTTTTGCATACCTCATCGTATTTGGTCCTCGTGCCAGCTCTCATAGGTAGTATCATTGTCTCCATTTTCAATGAAGCTCAGAGACCATGTATGTCACTTGCCCAGGGTCGTACAGCTGGTGAGTGGCAGGGCCAGGATCTGTGTTCAGGTCTGTGTTTCTTGAAAGCGCTTTGTGACAGAGCTTCTCCACCTTTAGTGTGCTTACAAATCACGTGGCACTCTTGCTAAAACGCAAACGTTGATCTGTTGGGTCTGGGAGGGGACTGAGATTCTGCACTTCTGACAAGCAACCAGGTGACATGGGGAGGTAGGGTTGCTGACCACTCTGGGAGCCGCGGGGCTCTGTGACGTGCTGTGTAGGCGCCTGGGAGGTGGAAACGGAGGCCAGGTCCTGGCAGGTGTGCTCAGCCCATCAGTGATGCAGCCCTCTCTGTGCTTCCCTTCTCCTTGCAGCTGTGGCAGTTGTCCTTGTCACTGGGCCCCGTGTAAGGGGGAATATCCTGTGCCTTCCCCGCAGCAAGTCAGGCTGCCCCGCCTGTGTACCCACCTTTGTACAAAGCAGCCTTTTCTGAACCTGGTCTCTGCTTCGTGAGCCATGCAGAACCCGAGTTCCCAGACTCCGGGTGGAGCTATTTCCTGGAGTCTGAGACAAGAAGTCCCCAGAACACGTCCAGATTTCTCTTTCCTTCTATAGATCAAGGGCTTGGCAGGGTCATGTCCAACAGAAACATGAAGTGCTTGGGGCCTGCTTGGCAGAATATTTGGACAAGTCTACCTCCCTTTAAGTCAACCTGAGATCTGAAAATCTAGATTCACACAAAGGGTGAATTTGGACCTAATTATTTTATAAACATTTTGTCATCTGATTCTTTTGCCCAACAAACTTTCCTACCATATTCAAACTGGGGATTGGTTAGCAAGATTTTGATGCAGGTACAACTTTTCAGGGACACCTGTATTGTCCGTACCTGAGACCTGAGTTTAGGCAATGCTATATGGGATGTCTTCATTGGTCCCCCAGCTCCAGGTAAAGTAGTGAATGTCAGCTCCTCTCCCCGCCTGTTCCTTGGTAGAGAACCTAGGGCAGTAGTTACTGAGAAGCCCAGCATGGAAAGGTCTTAAGTCTATCCTAAGCTCCGTATCCCTTTCTCTTTTCAGGTCAATTCTGAATTCTACACTGGCTGGTTAGACCATTGGGGCCAACCTCACTCAACAGTCAAGACTAAAGCGGTGGCTTCCTCCCTTCACGATATTCTTTCCCGAGGGGCCAGTGTGAACATGTGAGTGTTATTTTTCGGAGGGGAGGCTGTTCTCCGTAGCTGTGGGCTCATGGTGAAGTGCTGTCTGTTCTCTTGTTTCCTTGTAGGTACATGTTTATAGGTGGCACCAATTTTGCCTATTGGAATGGTAAGAACAATTTAACATCTGTTTGTAGAATCTAATCCTAAAATGTTTTTGGTGCTTGATTTTTGGAGGGGTGTGCCTGTGGACAATTGTTATTTTCTATTTTTGTTTGCTTTCTCCCAAATTTTCTAATATATAAGAATTGCGTATATAATTTAAAAAATAATTTTTCTTTTATTTATTAAGAAGAGGAGAGAAATGTTGAATTTGCTTTTCTATTGAGAACTGATTTTAAAAAATTGAGTATCCAGGTGTTATGAAATAATCGATGTTATATAAATGAGGAACTGCATTTGATGATTATAAATTACCCTTCTATACTTGTTTTAGATGCTCACAAATTACTTGTTCTTTGAAAATTTAATTCAGAATTTTAATTTAATTTACAAATGTGTTATAGGATCATAGAAATGGAATATTTTTCTTATGTAAATACAAATCTTTCAAAGTTTTCTTTTTTTCTTTTCTTTTTTTCTTTTATTGAAGTATAGTTGATTTACAGTGTTGTGGTAGTTTCAGACGTACAGCAAAGTGATTCAGATATAGATAGATATAAATATATAGATATGTATTATTTTTCAGATTCTTTTCCCTAATAGGTTATTATAAAATATTGAGTATAGTTCTCTGGCTATACAGTAGGTCAAAAAATCATTCTTCCTTAAAAAAAAATTTAAGAGACATAACTTGTACATTTAGAAGCTATTGTTTTAAATCAAGCTAGTCAGGCAGGTCATAGTCTCTGGCTATAACTTACTTGTTCATATATTCTGGTCTTTTTCTTCTATTTTTTTTTAAAAAAAACACTTTGTTTTGTTGAGATAGAATTCACATACCATAAAATTCATGATTTGGGGAATTTCCTGGCTGTCCAGTGGTTAGGACTCTGCGCTCTCACTGCCGAAGGCCTGGGTTTGATCCTTGGTCGGGAAACTAAGACCCCACAAGCCACATGGTGTGGCCAAAAAAATAAATAAATAAATTCATTATTTTAAAGTACACGATTCAGTGGTGTTTAGTTTATCACAAACTTGTGCAGCTATTATCACCATCTAATTCCAGAACATTTTCATTACCCCAAATAGAAACCTCGTACCCAGGAAATGCCCCACTCTCCCTCCTCCCAGCCCCTGGCAACCACTAGTCTACTCTCTGTCTTTATGGATTTGCCTGTTCTGGACATTTCATATGAAGGGAACCATACAATTTGTGGTCTTTTGTGTTTGACTTCTTTCATTCAGCATAATCTTCTCAAGGTTCGTCTATATTGTACCGTGTATCAGGACTTCATTCCTTTTTATTGCTGAATAATATTCTATTGTGTGGATATACCACATTTTGTTTATCCATTCATCAACTGATGGACATTTGGGATGTTCCCCCTTTTGGGCCATTATGAATAATGTTCCTATGAACATTATTACCTATGTGTAATATTACCTATGTGTAAGTATTTGTTGGAACCCCTGTTTCAATTCTTTTGGCTGTACACCTAGGAGTGGGATTGCTGGTTCATATGGTAACTAACTCTATATTTAGAGTTAGAGGAACTGCCACAGTGTTTTCTAAAGCAGCTGCACCATTTTACATTCCTATATGGCCTATATGGTCTTTCTTTTTAGTAGGAGAAATTATGGTAAAATTCTCTTCATTGCCATTGACTTTTGCAAAGACAAACCATCCTATATTGCTTTTCTCTAAACCTCATTCCCCACATCTCTCCACATCTGCATTTTCCTCTAGGAGTCATTGAGGATGCTTTACAGTTGAGTTTGGGAAGCCTAATTGGACCTCAGTCTCCTGGTGTTAGTAATTGGACACTATCAGCTCTTAATGAAGTTTCTTCTTCAAACTGCTACCTTTGTGCAGGGCAGGATGGTCAAGGAGAAGACTTTGGTTAAAGTATTATTAATATTATTATTAAAGCCAAAAAATGGAGATAATGCAAAGTTCAAATGTCATTTCTTAAAAGAGAGTAGAGTGCCAAGGTTGGTAATTGAAGTTAGATCAGCCCTGTGTCTGTCTTCCCCTTAGAAACACTTCAGACTTTGTGATGCCTTTTGCATTCAGAAAGTAGGGATTCCTCCTAGCTTCCATCCATGGAACCAAGACCAGTCACCAATCCAGGAATAAAGGCTGATATTTTTTGAAACTTTACAGTTCATGAAACAATTTTTTATATCCTATTATTTTATTGAAAACAATACATTCTTTTTTTTTTTAAATATATTTATTTACTTTTGGCTGCGTTGGGTCTTAGTTGCTGCACGCGGGCTTTCCCCAGTTGCGGCGAGTGGGGGCTACTCTTTGTTGCGGTGCACAGGCTTCTCATTGAGGTGGCCTCTCCCACTGCAGAGCTTGAGCTCTAGGCATGTGGGCTTCAGTAGTTGTGGCACGCGGACTCAGTAGTTGTGGCTCGTGGGCTGTAGGGCGCAGGTCCAGTAGTTGTGGCACACTAGCTTAGTTGCTCCACGGCATGTGGGATCTTCCCAGACCAGGGATCAAACCGGTGTCCCCTGCATTGGCAGGCAGATTCTCAACCACTGCGCCGCCAGGGAAGTCCCAATACATTCTTTTTTAAAACTTACGTATAATAACTGATTCACTTTGCTGTACGCCTGAAGCTAATACAACATTGTAAATCAACTAGACTCCAATAAAAATTTTAAAAATAAATAAATAAAGTGTACATGTATAAAACTACCACTCAGAAGTTGTCCTTAATCCTGTCCCTTGCCCCTGACCCTGCCATAAACAATACAAGGCTCTTTTCTGCCTCTGTTTTCCCATTTAGTCCTCATAGCAGTCTCATCTGGGCTGGGGATTATGGACCCACTTTACAGATAAGAAAAGCAGGGTACCAAAAAAGTCCACAAGGTTCCCATTCAGTTGTCAGAGAGTGGAGCCTGGGCTCAAACTCATGCCTTGGAAAGCTGGTCACCGCTCTTTGGATAACTCCTTGCAGCCTGCAGCCTGTGTTTCCAACCCCCAAACCAGCCCCTCTGTGTTTGCGGGCCTCTCTCTCCTGCCCTGTTGCCCGGTCTCTTTGTGGGAGTTGGGCGGCGGGGTGAGCAGTCTGTGCTTTTGGCTGCAATTCTTCGGGCCAGCTTCCCAGAGGAGAGCACGGGAGAAAACCTCTGGCTCAGGTGCTCACTGCGTTCCTGCCCACAGTAGCTGCCCATGCTGTGCAGATAGGCGCCCACTCTGTGCTCATGTATCCCCACGGGAGCCAGGCTGTCCTCTCCTCTTCACACACCCTGCAAAGCTGAGGAGCGGTACATCCTGCAATTTCTCTTGTCTTCCTACCTCACACTCCCCAGCGTGGCCAGAGGAGGCTGAAGTCAGCACTGTTTCCCTAGGACACTGCCCTGTGGGGATCTGAAACATCCAGAGGAAGATTCTGCTGGTAGAACTGCACACACTTAGTTTTCCAGTCTGTCCTGTAACCCATTGGCCAACTTCCCAGCCTGGGTTTCCCTTGGCCCGTAAAGTATGTTTCTGGGTGTTCACACTTGTTGACACTGTTTCACAGAGCTCCTTCTCATGCATGGCTCTGCAGGGGCCTTGGGTAAACAAGGCCATGCCTACCACTAGGATGCCCTTGGTCTAGTGGAGCGAGGTCACTGCCACACTGAGCGAGAGGAGGGACCATAAAGCAGAAGGTGAGCTCCTTGCAGCAAAGGATGTGGTTTTTCTTTTCTTTGCATCTCACAGCAAAGGATGTGTTTTAACATAGGTGTTCCCAGAGGCAGGAGAGTAAAAGTAATATGACTGGATCAATTCAATTGGTTGAGTGGTCCAGGTCTTTCAAAATGTAGATTCTGTGCATCGAACAGATTAGACAGTCTTTGGGGGATGACCTGATCCTTGGCCTCCCTTATCTGTCAACCCCGCCACCAGTAGGATCACCCAGGGCGGCTCCATCATTCGTGAGCTGTGGGATCACTCCAAGGAATTCGTTACTAAATCATAGTGAACTGTCAGATTTTGTGCCTCATTTACTTAAAAATTAGATTGGATATAAGATTATCCTAAAATAACTTTATTCTTTCACACACTTGCACTGCAAAACGCTCTCTGGAGTAGAAGAGAAAGGGGTGGCATGGAGCCTTGCTGGTCTGCAAAAGGCAGCGTCAGTGTCACCTGGGAGGCTTACTTAGAAATGCAGAGTCTCAGGTCTGACCCTATCCCTGCTGAATCAGAATCCCAGGTTGGGCTAAGGAGTGTGTTTTAATGAGCTCTCCACGTGACTCCAGGCCAGAGCAAGTTGTACTGGCACAGGGTTACTGCCCAAATTTGCAGAGTCTCCTATCTGTGAATATCACCTGTGACAAGGCTGGGGCCCACTGGTCTAGACTGTGCCCCTTGAACAATAATTGCAACGCTGTTTGCTTTTTGCATCCACAGTATTGGCATTATTTATTAGTCTCTGTGGCGGGTCACATTCCCTGGGAAACGGACTCTGAGATTGCCTGGCACAAGTTTATTGGGGTGTGCTCCCAGCAGCAACACCAGAGTCAGGATTGGGCAGAAGGAGAAGCTGGGCAGTGATGCAGTCTCAAAAGTGGCTCAGCTGATTCTAGAGGGAGCTCTGGAGCTGGGATGGCCCTTTGAGGCAAGGGGACTGGGCTTTTATATCCCTGCACTGGTCAATCTTTGGATGTTGGCGATCCCAGGAGGGGTGTAATCTTGGGCAAGGCGGCCCAGCAGAGGTCAAGGACCAGAGAGGGGCACATCTGAGAGCCGTCCTCAGCAAGCACTCCCAGTAACTGGGGGAATGAGTGAGTGCCTGGGCCCTGAAGGTCAATGTGAGAGGCACACCACAGCACCCCCTAACTCTTTGCAGACATTACAAACGCCCAAGGTTACACTTGACTCTCAGTGGGCTGATGTGTGTCTGCAGTCATCTTCCAGTTTGTTTGGTCTGATAGCCCCTTAGTTGTTTGCTGCTGATCATGGGCCCAGAAAACTGTGTGTCCACCATGGACCTTTTCTCAGCCACACATGAGGTCATGAACAAGATCTGCAGGGTTAACAGTCAGACATGTGGGTCATGCCATAAGCCCTGCTGTTGCTGGTTGTGAGATGTCCAGGGGGGTTGTAGGGAGCTTCAGAGGCCCTGCTTGTCCAGTGACAGGGCTGTCTGCTGGGGTCGCTGAGAGAGTGGATGGGGAAGGTGCTCTGTAGGCTCTAAGAGCTTGGCGAGGGCCACCTGCAGGAAGAAACTTGTTTCTCTAAACCTTGGCTCCTGAGGGCCACCTCTGTGTCACTTAACAGTTGGCTCTAATGTGTTCCTTATTTTCTCCCTCCACAATGCCAAGCCATGAATCCCAAAGAACTTCTCCCAGGGGAAGGCCTTCCGTAGTAGCTAGTGGCACGGTTTTGTCTTCCAGGGGCCAACACGCCCTACCAAGCACAGCCCACCAGCTACGACTATGATGCCCCACTGAGCGAGGCCGGGGACCTCAGTGAGAAGTATTTTGCTGTGCGGGACGTTATTCAGCAGGTGAGTGCTTTGTACGGGCTGCAGTGGCTGGTCTGGGCCAGAGCCTGCCCGGGACTCACAATGCTCTGTAGACAACTTCCTGGAGGCTTTGTGTTTAAAAGGACAGATGAAGGGAAGCACGAGCAAGACTTGGCCTTGAGTCTTGGTCCCACCCGATTAAGAGTGAGCCCGAGGGCTTCCCTGGTGGCGCAGTGGTTGAGAGTCCTCCTGCCGATGCAGGGGAAACCGGTTCATGCCCCGGGCCAGGAGGATCCCACATGCCGCGGAGCGGCTGGGCCCGTGAGCCGTGGCCGCTGAGCCTGCGCTCCACAACGGGAAAGGCCACAGCAGTCAGACGCCCGCGTACAGCAAAAAAAAAAAAAAAAAAAAATCCAAGGTCAAATGAAATAAAGCAGAAAATCTGCAAAAAAAAAAAAAAAAAAAAAGTGAGCCTGTCAGCAAGGTACTCCACAGTACGTTGTAAGGATTAAAAAGAACACAGGTAAGGCCTCCAGTACAGCCCTGACACATCTGTTGTCCAGTAAGCGGTGGTCATTTATTCTATTATTCATACTAAACAAGAAAATGTGTGTCCACATAAGTAGGTGAAGTATGCAGGAAAGAAAATCCGTGGGCATTTTGAACACGGTACAAATGTGAGCTGTCAGCAATGCTTCATTTTTCTATTTGGGGCAAGTGATTGCTGTTTCCTCCAGGCCTGACATCTGAATGCTTAGTCCTTGCTAACGTTGTGACCTTTGAGGCATCTAACGCACCCAGGTGGGGTTTCCTGTCTCTGTGTGGCTTTAAAAAAAAACCCACAGTTTTTCTGCTCAGTCACCTGAGTTTTGAAGTTAAAAAACAAAGATTTTCTGCCTATAAATGGTATGGACGTTTTTTTCTGTTAGTTTTAAGTATGCTGTAGTCTCCGTTTAAGCCTAAGTGTTATTTGTATTATGAAAAATTTTAAACATATTGAAAAATATCTATACTTAACTACTCTTAGAGTTTGTTCATTTGATCTACGTTTCCAGATGTGTGGTTAAAATGATGCTCGTGTGATTTTTATTGCGGGTTTAATCTCTGTAGAATTTAGAGTGATGACTCCCAAGTTCTGTCTTATATGTTTGTTCTCTGTTTCAAAGCTCTCTATTCCTATCTTTATTATTTCCTTCCTTTATTTGAAGCTTAGCTTTTTAAACTGGGCTTTCTTCTTTTCTTTTCTAATATAAATACTCAAGTCTATACATTTCCTTCAAGTACTGCTATGGTGCCATATCATAAGTTTTGATATGTAATATATTTATTATTGTTTGCTTTTAAACATGCCTATTTTGATTTCTCTTTGACCCTTCAAACGTTCAGAAGTGAGTTTTTAAATTATTAAACATAAATATTTTTCTAGTCTGTTGGTTTCTCACATATTTGCATTGTGGTTGGAGAATGTAGTGTGTATGATACCAGTCCCTTGAAGTTTCTTGAACCTCTTGGTAGAGCCTGGCCTATACCAATATGAACAAATATTCTGTGTATTCTCGAAAAGACTTCGTGTTTTATAATTGTTGGCTATAATCTGTATATGTGTTCATTAGATTAAGTTTATTAATGGTTCTGCTGATATCTTTGATATCCTTCCTAAATTTTTTGGTCAGTTTATTGTATTAGTTATTGAGAGAGTTGTGTTTATGTATTTCTTCTTGTAGTTCTGTCAGTTTTTGAGGCCATGTTATTAGTATGTAGATTGAGAATTAAATCTTTTAGTATCATTATATGGAAGTCATCTATCTCTGTTAATGCTTTTTGCCTTAAAGTCTGTTTTGTCTGATACTAATACTACTAATAACTACTTTTGGTTAGTATTATTCTGGTATATCTTTCACAATGCTTTAATTTCAACCTTTTTATATCCTTTTTAGAAAAACACATGTCCCGAAACAGAAACAGACTCAACGGACGTAGAGAACAGACTTATGGTTGCCAAGGGGGAGGGAGGGATAGATTGGGAGTTTGAGATTAGCAGATGCAAACTATTATATACAGAATGGATAAGCAACAAGGTCCTGCTGTATAGCATGGGGAACTATATTCAATATCCTGTGATAATCCATAATGGAAATGAATATAAAAAAGAATGTATATGTATAACTGAATCACTTTGCTGTACAGCAGAACTTAACACAACATTGTAAATCAATGTTACTTCAATTAAAAAAAAATTAAAAACATGTCCCTTGTAAACAGGATATAGCTGGATTTTTAAAAAATCTAGTTTGAACATTTTTTCTTTTAATTGGTGCACTTGTTCATTGTCATTCATTATAATTCTTGATACACATCAATTCATTTCAACCATCTTATAATAATCTCTTTGTCCAGCTCTTCTGTTTTGTCTTCCCTTATTACTTTCTTTTGAACTGTTTATTTTTGTTTCCTTATTTCATCTCCCTCCCACCCTAGTTTGGATGTTATTCACTATATTTTTATTCTTTTAGTGGTTGCCTATTGAAGTGTGAAATATGTACCCCCCAAAAATACAACTCAGTATAGAACAACGTGAACCCCTGGAACCAACACACAGCCCCCCAGAAGCTCCCCTCATGCTCCTTCTGGTCATTGACCTCCCATTGACCTCTATCACCATAGGTTAGCTGTGCTTGTTTTTGACTTTATATAGATGGGTTCATACAGTATGCACTCCTTTATGTCTGGCTTTCAAAAAACTTTAACAGTTTTTACTTATAATAATTTAAAATTAATCCATATCTTTACTTCCTTCCTACAATCAGAACTTTATCTCACATTAACTCCAATTACATCCTTCCTGACTTATATGCTCTGAATGTCATGTATTTTAGTTGTGGGCTAGTTGTGGATGTAAATCTTCAAGGGAGATTGGTTTTCTCCCCTACTTATTGCTGTGCAATAAATTACCTACAAACTCAGTAGCTTAAAACAACAAATGTGGGACTTCCCTGGTGGCGCAGTGGTTAAGAATCTGCCTGCCTGTGTAGGGGACATGGGTTCGAGCCCTGTTCTGGGAAGATCCCATATGCCATGGAGCAACTAAGCCCGTGCGCCACAACTAATGAGCCTGCGCTCTAGAGCCCGCGAGCAACAACTACTGAACCCATGTGCCACAACTACTGAAGCCTGTGTGCCTAGAGCCCGTGCTCTGCAACAAGAGAAGCCACCGCAATGAGAAGCCCGCACACTGCAACAAAGAGTAGCCCCTGCTCACCGCAACTAGAGAAAGCCCGCGGCAGCAACAAAGACCCAACGCAGCCAAAAATAAAAATTAAATAAATAAGTTAATTAAAAAAAACAAAAACAAAAACAAATGTTATGACCTCACACAGCTTCTGAGGGTAAAGAATCTAGGGGTGGCTTAGCTGGATGTTCTAACTCGTGAATTCTCCTGAGGTTGCACTGAAAGCTGTTGGCGATGCAGCAGTCTCTGAAGACTTACGTGGGGCTGAAGGCTTCATTTCTTTCTTTCTTTCTTTCATTTTTTAATATTTATTTATTTATTTGGTTGCACCAGGTCTTAGTTGCAGTACGTGGGCTCCTTAGTTGCAGCAGGCGGGCTCCCTAGTTGTGGCATGCATGTGGGATCTAGTTCCCTGACCAGGCCCGCTGGATTGGGAGCGTGGAGTCTTACCCACTGTGCCACCAGGGAAGTCCCTGAAGGGTCCATTTCTTTCTTTACTTTCCACTTTTTTTTTTTAATTGAATATAGTTGATTTACAATGTTGTGTTAGTTTCTGCTGTACAGCAAAGTGATTCAGTTATACATGTATATATATATTCTTTTCCACTTTGCTTTATAACAAGATATTGAGTATAGTTCCCTGTGCTATACAGTAGGACCTGGTTGTTTATCTATTTTTTATATAGTAGTTTGTATCTGCTAAATTATCCTTCCCCCACCCCTTTCCCCTTTGGTAACCTTAAGTTTGTTTTCTATGTCTGTGAGTCTGTTTCTGTTTCATAAATAAGTTCATTTGTGTCATATTTTAGATTCTACATATAAATGATATCATATGGTATTTGTCTTTGTCTGACTTGCTTCACTTAGTATGATTGTCTCTAGGTCCATCCATGTTGCTGCCAATGGCATAATTTCTTTTTTTATGGCTGAGTAATATTCCATTGTATATACATACCACATCTTCTTTACCCATTCATCTGTCAATGGACATTTTGGTTGCTTCCATGTCTTGGCTATTGTGAACAGTGTTGCTATGAACATAGGGGTGCATGTATCTTTTTGAATTATGGTTTTCTCTGGATATATGCCCAGGAGTGGGATTACAGGATGATATGGCAACTCTATTTTCAGTTTTTTGAGGAACCTCCTATTCTTCTCCATAGTGGCTGCAACAACCTACATTCCCACCAGCAGTGTAGTAGGGTTCCCCTTTGAAGGGTCCATCTCACATGGCTGTGTGCAGGTCACTAAAGTTCTTTGCCACGTGGGACTCTCCATGAGGCTGCCCACGATGTGGCTTCCCCCACAGTGAATGATCCATGAGAGAGTGGGCACCTCCAGATGAAAGCTGCAGTCTTCTTATTACCCAAACACAGAATGACATCCCATCCCTTTTTCCATATTCTTTCCACTAGAAGCCAGTTACTAAGTCCGGGCCATATTCAGGGGAATTAAGTTCCACTTGTTGAGGGGAAGAGTATCAGAGAATTTGTGGGCATGTCGTTAAAACTGCCACATCCCCCTACACTCAGGGCCATATTTATGACGGGCAATGTTCATTGTAATCACAGGTAGCCTTTGGTTATGCCACTAATCAGATAAACAGGTTCATTTATTTCCTTTACTGTTTTTTTTTAATTTTTTTTTAATTTTAGAGGTTCCTTTTTTTCCTTTCATTCCTGATTTTGTTTAATTATATAAAATTACAAGGTACCAGTATTTTTAGATGTTTCCCCTATGGCTAGGATTTCCAAAAAAGGTGTCTTCAATCCTTCCTGGAGTAAGGGGCTGGTTGCCAGCATTCTGCGCCCTG